TGTATGGTATATAACAAGTCACGCCAACTCTTCCTGATTTAAAAACATTTATTTTTGTTATTAACTCCCAAATGTATAAACAGTGTATGTATATATATATATTCCGTTTGTTATTTCAATCACGAACTTTCGGTCCCAATTTCAGAACGCTTTTCGGGCAAAGTTTGTGCTCTTGAACACGTTACATACATATTCCACCCGCGTTATGAGCCTAAATTAATATCTATAAAAGTTGAAAGTAACCATACTGTTGTACCTGTCTGATGATGTAATAGTAACTCTTTAGTAATTTGTAAATATATAGAATTTTTTTCTCGTTGAAAAAGTCCTTACTCTACTTAATATGTTTCTCTAACTCTAGAATATATGTGCCTCTATAATACCTGAAATTTGATGTTTCTGTGCCTCTAGAATATCTGAGATTTTGTAGTGAAACGTTTCGTACACACTCTAATAGAATATATGTGCCTCTAGAATACCTGAAATTTGATGTTTCTGTGCCTCTAGAATATCTGAGATTTTGTAGTGAAACGTTTCTACACACTCTAATAGAATATATGTGCCTGTAGAATATCTGAGATTTTGTAGTGAAACGTTTCATATACACTCTAATAGAATATATGTGCCTCTAGAATATCTGAGATTTTGTAGTGAAACGTTTCATACACACTCTAAGTTGAATAACAGTCAGCAAGATTAATTTCTCTTTCATTTTACAGATGGTGCTCAAAGTTTTAACTTTGCTTCTTCTGGGTAAGTAGAATAATTGTTTTATTTATTCATCCAAATACAAATTGAATTTGTCCATTTTACTAATGTTTAAATGGCAGAACTATGCCTTCGGGTAACAAGTTAAACCGTTTTATTGTAACTTTTTCACATTTTTGTGTCTTTTTAAGGTAGATGTTGTTTGTTTGTTGGTTGTTGTTTTTTTTTTGGGGGGGGTTGTGCTGCACCATGTAAAAGTTTCATTATTTTATTATGGTTTGGACATTACATATTGTAGTATGTCAATCCAGTACTTAGGCCCGGCATGGCCAGGTGGTTAAGGCACTCGACTCGG